ATGTATTAATAAATGTACAATATATGTTTCGGCATAAACCCCTCCCAAAAAAAAAAACAACAAGTAAGAGGACTCTAGTCGAGACTGCTCGACTAGGAGATACCCTAAACCCTCTAATCTGATATTCACTCTGCACTTCTTTTCGGCACACATACATACACACGCACGTATTAGAACGCGCTCTGCTAACTGCGCAGTAAGCAGCGACTGCGCTTGGGCTGCGCTGTAGTGTGGGCAACATTATAAGAATTTCTTTGTTGAATAATTTAATTTCTAGACGTACAATCTTAATGAAACTTTCAGAACATAATCATAATGTTCAAATGTATGTACATTCCAAAGCACAAGTCTCTAGTACTTGAAATACGTCTTTTACAAAGGTGAGGGTGAGGGGGTGGATATAAGGGTGGGGGGAAAATTACAACAAAAATCGAAATTATATAAAATATATATAAGTCTACATTTAAAATTTGGAAGCTCTAGCTCTAAAGGTGTAGGAGATATAATTAAATAACTAGCATTCGATAAGGTTTTTGATCGATAATAAAATATCGGGAGTAGTTATCGATATTTAAAGAAAAACTTGATATGCGCGTGATATACACGGACCTAGGAAAAAAAATTTCAAGTCTCTAGCTCTTATATCTTCTGAAATCGACGCGTTCATACATACGGACGGACGGACGGACGGACGGACGGACGGACGGACAGACAGACGGACAGGGCCAAATCGACTTAGCTCGTCGCCCTGATCAAGAATATATATACTTTGTGGGGTCTGCCACGCCTCCTTCTGCCTGTTACATACTTTTAACAAAACCATTATACCCTGATTTCCCATTTTCAATGGGTTCAGGGTATAAAAAACAAAACGACTAAGAAGAAGAACACGCTATAACAACTGGTCCATAAAAACGCCAAATGTAGTTAAAATAGCATTTTTGGGGTCGTCTCCGAAAGAGTCGAAAACCTTTTTTGGTGCTAGCTTGAACCGAGGGTCTGTCTGACTCCGCCCTGTGGAGGCTGTCACGGCCTGTGCGTGAGCTTCGGCCATTCAAGCTGGCCATTCTGGTCATTCTGCATGGCCCTCAGAGTTCCAGCGAATCTCCCGGTCGTGGACATCATGTGAGCAGTGACTGGACTCTGTTCCAGGGATTCAGTTTACATTCTATTTTCGTGCGCTGGCTTTTGCCCCACATTAACTGAAGTTTAAATATACATACATATGCTGGCCGATGGTCATTCTTGTCTGAATCGAGAGCTCAGCATTATGCCCTGATTGGCCTTTTTTTTCTGTTTTGATAAAAAGGATTGAAAGCTCCCGCATTTCAGTTCGCATCAAGCATAAGGATATCATCCAAGAGCATTCGCATCCTCAATTAATGGCTCTAATCACAAAGGCTGCTGCCTCGTCTACCCTTCCAGCTCATATATCCTTTCAGTGAACCGCAGCCTTCCAGCTTGATGCACTCACTGTTTGTCGTTGACGTTGAGCAAAGGGCATGCGGCATTCGGCTAGTCCTGTCGGGCTATTTATCTTATGCTGGCTGAATGTGTTATTGTTCTCGGTGCGGGCTGTGTTGACATGTACGATGTACAGACGTATGTATAGAACAACAGGAACAGGACGTGCTGCCACTGCTGTTGCTGCTGCTGCTGTTGTTGTTGTTGTTAAGGGGAAAAATGTTCCAAGTTTTCTTTTGAACAATTCACTTTGAAGGCATAAATTATGCCTTCAGTTTTTCAGTTCGCATGAATTGCTGTTGGCTGTCAGCTTGTCGCCTTGCCTGCCTGCCTGCTTGCCTGCCAGCCTGCCTTACTGCCAGTCTGCCTCTCGCCCCTCCCCCTCCCCCCTGTGACCCTACTTGGCTACATCCCTATCTCGCTTTTGAGAAGCTTAACTCGCCTCTTTTGTGCGCAAAGTTTGGGGCGTCGCTCCTTGAGCGCTGGCTGCAGCCCCTCGGCATAAGAAAACAATCTTCAAGGGTTGTCTGACAGTCAGTCTGCCCGACAGACGGACTCTGTGCAACTGCCACTTGCCCCATGCCCCGTGCCCCGTGCCCCTTGTCTCTTGTCCCTACGCCACTGGCCTGTGCAAGTTTACTGGCTGCTTTTGGGGCCTCTGTGTAATTAATTTGATATGCAACGAAGCGTTTTTTGAAGTTTATATTGTTTGTTTTACTTGAATACGTTGAGGTCTCGAGGCCAGAGCGGCCTCAAGTGCCAGCCGGCACTCAAAATTCTTCTTCTTCAGCCTCAGCCTCTGCCCCTCTCTCCCTCTGTTCAATGGTTGTACTGCCACTCGGCTCAGCTCTTCATTTCGAATACGAAATTCATAAATTTTGATTTACACACAAGTTTTCGTGCACGACTCTCCAAAAAGCGGCTCAGACAATAGTTTTTCCATTCTCCTAAGACTTCTTTGTGTCGGCACACTTGTCTGACCCGCAGGCTGCCTGACGACCTGACTGCCAGACTGCCCGACTGAACTGAAACGGGAACGAGCAGCGCTCATTGTCATGCATATTGTACAATCGTTATGTGAATTTATACTGCTGCCACACACATACATATGCGAACGTCTTTGCATCTGCCTCTGTGTCTTTCAATGTCGCATTTGATTCTCTGGACTATTTCTTAGAAGTCTTGTTTATGCGTTTTCTTCATGACAGCAATTTTCAATTAAAAACGCTCCTCAATTCACAACGTGTCGCGGCACCTCACGAGGTGTGGCCCCCAGCCGCTCAGCTCCCCCAGCGTCTACCCCTAACTAGATTGATTGATCTTAAATTGCCAATGAACAGTTGAAGTCATGTGAGAAATAATTCAATGGGTTTCAATTTGGATTCCTTTGTTATTCAAAGTAAAGAATTCAATGCAAAGCCGAACTATCGAGCGAGATTTCGATATGATAATGTATATAAATATATTGCACACCTGTCAAATTAATCTGCGCCACAGCTCGCCTAACTGTTTTTTATGCTCTCGTTATATTATTTTGCCCAAGCTCTTTATAGCGCATATGTTACACCTACAACCTCGATCTTTTGTTACTACAGCTCGCAAATGCTGGCCATGGGATATACTTCCACCTAGCCATGGAAATGTGCGCAACTGTGTGTGTGTGTGTGTGTCACAGCAAGTGCCGGCAAACGACCTCAACTTCACTACACACAGACACACAGTCATACTCACACACTCACAGAATTACTTTTTCAAATGACTGCAATATAAAAGTGGCTTGGTCTAAGGCCGAAGCCAGCAGCCCAGAGCCGAGTCCATGGGCCCCGTCGTCAGCCGAAACGGCATCAATATCGACATTCGTTCGGGCTTAACTTAATTACATGCCGGTCGACGCCTCGTTGCATAAATGGGAAACTCTCTGCATCTGTATGTGTGTGTGTGTGTGTGTGTGTGTGTGTGTGTGTGTGTGTGTGTGTGTGTGTGTGTGTCTCTGTTGTGGTCCAGCTGTGCGCTGAGTCGCTTTACAACTGTTCGCAACGACCTTCCCAAAATGCTGTTGGTTGTTGTTGTTATTGCTCCTGCTCCTGCTGCTGTTGCTGTTGCTCTTTTGTTGTGCTCTCTAGATCTGCTCCTGTGACACGCCCGTCCAGTGCGCAGGTTCGCCTCATCGCAGTGGCCTCCCAGTCGGCTGAATAAAGAGCGCCATTGCCACTGCGCACACTCGCGCTCCCCTTTGAACCCACGGGAGCTGCTTTGGCGAGGTGGCGACCTTCCAATGAACCTGAAACAGACTCTAAGCTGCACTGGAACTACCTATCAGCAGCAGCAACAGCAGAGGCAGCAGCAGCAGAAAAAACTCCCCATCTGGCTCTGCAGCCCCCGCTTCCTGTCGCTGCCTCTCAGCTGTCCAGGTCTGGCTCGGCTCATGAAGTTACTCAGACATGCATAAAAATGCCGGTTTTATTATGTCGTTCAGCTTGTGTGTGTGTGTTTAACTGTGTGCGCGAGTGTGTGTTTGTGTTTGTGTGTGTTGTGGGTGTGCCGCCTCGGCGTGTCCTTCGAGCGTCTGGCCCCGTCTGGGGACTTTCTGCTGTCGTTTTGAGCTCGAGCCGACGCGACGCAGACGGAGTTGGAGACTGGCTGTCTCCCCTTTCTATGGCCGCCGCTGCCAGCGCACCGCCCCGCTTTTCGCCACAAACTTTTTATCTATTTCTTTTTTTCGTGCCGTATAGAAAACTGAGGCAATTTGGCAGCCTGTGTCGCTGCAGTTGGGCAGCCACCCACACGGCGAATGCTTGCCAGAGACTATGTCGTAAACTGGGCCGTTACCGCGCCACATCCCCCCTCTGGCCATGCGGCTGAGCCAACCCTTGCCTAAGGCGAGTTTTATGTAACAATCCTCTGCTCATAAAATAAAATAGGTACATACATACATACATACATACATATACATCAAAGTTTGCATGTATGCGTGTGGATATATAAAATGCTCGTTTGTGTGTTTTATTGTTGGCTTTCATCCTTGGCCCGACTCTGGTGTGGGCATCCCTCCACACACACGCACACACAAACAGAGACACATTATGTATATATAAAAAGATATAGTTACACACACACACACACACACATATATATATATATATACATATGTGCACACACATATATATATATTTTTGAAATATGCTTGTGACTAATTTAATTTATTTGCCATTGTTGTTTGGGAATTGTGGGATTTCCTTCGGCTGCTGCTGCTGCTGCTGGTGCTGCTGCTTTTCTAGGTTTTCATTGTTACTTGGAAAATTCTTTGAAGCATTTTCGTTTGCTGCTCTCGTTTTAGCAATTGCCCTGCCATTGATTTCACTTAGTTCCCATTGTTGTTGCAGCGAGTCACCAAAGAGCTCTGACCATGAGCGCTATGGGAATTTTCTAAGCTGCGTCTAGTTCGTTTTCTCGTTTGTTGTTTATTTGTTGTTTGCTTCAAATAAATTGCCTCAATTTTGTCATAAAAATGAAAACTTTTACAATTAAGAGTTTACCTTTTTATTTATGAGCTGCGGATGCTATGGCAATTGCCCTGCTTGGCTGGCTCAGAGCGAGGAATGGAACGGAAACGGTGACAACAACTGAAACGGAAATGTTGATAAATTAGCGCCATCTAGCGTTCGCCATGGTGTCTTACTACGATAAGCAATTTATAAAGCTCACTTACATATTGTGAGCTGGAGTTGACTTAAACATATGCGCTATATACATGAATATTTATATGTATGTGCACTGACAGATATAGTTTGGAGTGAGCTGCACTTGGTGTGGGTGCAATCAAAATTCACAAATAGCTCAGTTCATAAATATTGTATTCCTATACGAATTACACACAATTTTCACTCATACAGCGAATGCATTGATTAATTTAATTTGCTTTCATTGTGCATTGCGCACATTACAAAGCCTTTACCAAATGGCATATATCAATTTTTCCAATCTCTAACTGCCACACACACACACTCGTATATATAGCATTGATTTTGGATTTATGCATATTTTATGCCGCTGGCAAATGCCAGCTGCCGCCCACTGAGACACCCACACGACCTTCGCCAAGCAGGAAAATACAAATTCGTGAGTGTGTGTGTGTGTAAGTGTGTGTGAGTCTGTGTCCAATAATTTGTTGGCAATGCCAAAATATGCAACCCACAGCGCACATAATAAATTGAATTAAAAGAAGCAATAAAAAATGAATAAAATCAATGGAAGAAAAAAAAATATTGTAAGCATAAATGAGCAAAAAAAAAAAAAAAGAAAAAAAGAAATAAATAAAGTTTTGTAAATTGCGCTATTCGTCTGCTGGCAGGCAACTAATTTATGGCATTTACAAGACGACAACAACAACATTTTTGCACATCAACAATTTCCACTGGTTGCAGCAGCAAATTAGCCAGCCAACATCTGCAGCAGCAGCAACATAATTTTTTCTTTTTTTCTCTTTTTTTTGCAGCAACAGCAGCCGCATGCATAAATTTTGCAACAGCAACAACAGCAGCAAAAAGAACTGCAGCAGCAGCAGCAGCAGCAGCAGCAACAACTGCAACTGCAACTGCAACTTCAAATGATTTGCCTGTTGCTGCTGCTGTTGTTGTTGTTGTTTGTATCTGTCGCTTGTTTTTGCTTAAATTATAGACATTTGACTGGCTGTGCAACAGCATTTGGCATGCAATTTTTCTTGCTTATTTGAATGAGTGACTCGCATTTGGATTTGCATTCGCATTCGCATTCGTATTCGCATTCGTATTCACATTTCTTAGAACTTCCTGAAATGTTGCCTTACAATATTTGTAATTAAGCAATTTGTTTCGAGGGCGTCGCAACATTTCCGCTGGCCAATTGATTGAGCAGCCAGCGATTCTCTTGTAACGGATGTGCCCATTTGGGTCTTGCCACATGCGACATGCGACAGCAACAGCAACTGCAATTAGTGGCAAGCGAGCGAGTGAGAGAGACGGAAAGAGAGAGAGAGAGAGAGAGAGAGAGAGAGAGAGGGCAGCCCTTGGCCAAAGTTCGGTGCAAAGTTCTTATGTATGTAAGGCGTATGTAGAATGTCACACACAACCTGCAGCTGCCTACGCATTGTTCGTACACTGAGCGAAATAGTCGATGAACGTTACTGAAGTGATATTAGGATAGAGTGTCACTCCTTGGTTTATGAAGTAGCTGCCCAGCCGCAGATCCTGCGTGCTCTTTCCACTCGCAATACTTGAATAGAGTACACAATTATTTTTTGTAGTGTATTGGACTGCTGCACTCATATGTTTGCACTATTCGATTGATTTCTTTTGTCACGACATTTGCCTCCTTATTGAGCAACTTTTCAAGCAGCAGCTTCTGCATCTTGTCCATATTGATTTTTCATTGCACTGCCAGCAACAACTACAACAACAATAATAATAATAATAATAAAATAATAATGAAAACAGCGTAGCGCAATATAATTGGAATTTGAAATTGTAAATTGGATATTTTTGCAATGAAAAGACCGAAAAAAAAGAAGCGAATAAAAAGAAGTCACAAAGCAGCAGCAGCAGCAACAGCAACAGCAGCAGCAGCAACAACAACAATCAGCAGCAACAACAATCAGCAGTAGCAACAGCAACATGTGAGTATGTATTTGATTTTGATTATTTATTCAATGAGCGTTTGCCGTTGTATTTGGCTTCATTGTGTGCATGTCCAGCGGACAAGTGAACCAATCGAGCCAATGGGGCATCAATGGCTATGCTCTCGCCCCGCCCCCGTCCGCCGCCATGCCCCTTGCCAGAGTGAGCATGTGTGCCATGCATTAGTCTGCCAATAGCCCGACGCCACACAAAGGCCAATTTAATTTGAAACACAGCAACGTTGACTGACAGACCGAGAGACAGACGGACCGACAGCCCGACGGACAGATGGACTGATAGACAGGGGAATGGCTTTAAAGCCAGACAGTCACCAAGAACTTGAAGCGAATAAACGCAAATAACTCAATCCAACTACAACTAAAACTAAAACTGAAATTTGAACTATTGCTGCTGCTGCTGCTGCTGCTCTTGCTGCTGATGTCGTTCATGTTGTGCATTCAAATCAATCGAAGCGAAACACTTAAAGATTTCTATTCATTGCTATTAGTTGCTGCCAGCAAACGAGCAAGTTAAGTGCTTGGATGAAATAAACGTGTCAGTTATGCAAAGGAAACCAGTTAGCATTTGGTAAAAATAACAATAATATATAACTGAAAGCTGGAGGCTACGATAAAATCAATAGAAAAATAATCAAATTACAATTGAATATGCTAATGGGAGCCATTAAAGGGGCTTAACTCTAGATAAACGTGGACGCGACTGTGGCCCATAGTAAATTGAGTAATGTCGGAGAGATAGCTGGAAAATCAAGATTAATCAAATGGAATTGCTCATTTGTTAGGCAAATGCCAGGTCTCAGCTATTGTTGCTAATATACGGGTATGTAAATATTTTGATAATCTGGCTCAAACGACTTCCTGACTGAATAAACATGATATGATAAAATATCAAGTGATCCAACCGACCTGAGTCAGCATTTCCAGAAAATGTGTTACTATTTGTAGAGGTCTTATATATGGCATGGACTTGCATGTTTGTACTTAGTCAACTACCGTCTCTTTTTCATTTCGTTTCAAAGTTTGTTGTAAATTTCTACATTCTGACCTTGACTAATTTTAGAAAACATTTGTGTTGGATTTGAGTTCGAGTTTCTTGGCCTCAGCTGTGTCTGGGCTCAATGGATTACAATTATGATTGGGTCTCTCGAAATTGAAAAGCAAACACAAGCAAACCCCATAACGAGGCCGACCCATAGCAGCACGTACGGCCGCATGCCCCCATAGGGAGACTTAGGCCACATACCATTTGTCAGATAGAAAACTTGCACTGGGCTCTCAGAGCAGCAGCGTCTCGAGCATACTAATAATATATATATATAAAGTCAATTTGAGGCGCGTTTAGAGATGGTTTTTTTTTGGGTCTTTGGGTGTGTGGGTAATTATAATGCGCCATAGTTACGCCCGGCAAGCTGCATAAATATTGAAATTAAATAATCACAAATGCCACAGATAAATAAGCCAGCCAACTGTAAAAACAATACGTAATAGCAGCAATCGTAAAAAATTACGAACATATGCGTTCGAAATTCCAACTGAATGTATAATATAATATTTTAATATTTGATGTTTTTTGTCGCTGTTGCTGTTGTTGTTGTTGTTGTTGTTGGTTACGAACATTTGTTTCTTTCAGAAATGTGTCGCCTTATGGCTAGAAGCCCATTGGGGCTGGTTTAAAGTCGAGCTGTTGTTGGCTTCTGGCTTCTGGGGTAGCCCCAGAGTTATTCAACTTTTATTTTAATTTCCTTTACGAGGGCAGCTCGCATTTTTGTTTATTTTTTTCGTTTTTTTTTTTTCTTTCGAGAAACCAATAATGCCGCACTTCAGCGGGCCATAAAAGTAGCATAAAAATACAAAACGAAATCTAAACGCGACCCCCGCGTTGACCCACCCAACCACCCGGCAACCCCACAGGCAGCGATGGTGGTGGTGGTGCGTCGTGCGGTGCATAAAAATAAGTAATATCGTAAAAATTACAGGAAATAAAAATCGCTACGTAAATACGTGCAAGTGCAGGAGAGCGAGAGGCAGAGCCACAGTCAGAGCCAGAGCCAGAGCCCAAGCCAGACACGAAGGTGGAGCTGGAGCCCGAGTTGGCCAACTTTCTCGCCGTCTGAAATTGGCAGTAAAATTATGGCAGACAACGCTGCGAAAAATGAGGAAAATTGTAACAGACATTGAGGCGGTTGGCAGAAACGTGAACGCAAACAACTATTAAATATTTGGTCAGTCTGAAATTGAATGGCAGTCTGAAGTTCAAGTTACCAGCGAGCGATGTTGGCGATGTTGGTCTCTGGCCGTATTTCAATAAGGCGAATAACAAGTATACGCCACATGCGCCATGAATAATTCATGCAGCTCACTTTTTGAGCCACATTCAGCATAATTACTATGCCGAGTCGAATTACATCCTCAGGCTTTAGCATCTCTGCATTGTTATGCAACTGCCAACTGATTAGCTGAAAGGTAATCGTGTATTAGTTATATTTTAGGCATGGCCAGGCTTTAATCGAAACAAAGCCAAGACACTCACTCAATTACGACAACTATGAGAATGCAAAACAGTTTGCTCTAACAATGTATAGCCATGTTAGAGACATTTCCTTTACAACATTAACAATGCAACTGAGTTTCCAATTACATAGCGAATGTGCATGTGTATCTTGGTGTATATGTGTGTGTGTGTGTAAAGCCCATAATCATTTCAAATGGCAAATTATGACAGCGAGTAGGGGCCAGAGCAACAACAATAACAACAACAACTACAGCTACAACATAAACGAATGACAAGCAAATGAAATGAGCTTTTAATCAATTTCCGGTATTAAAGCGCAGACAATCATTCAACAATGATTGCTGTTGTTGTTGTTGTGGCTCGTGTTGTTGTTGCTGCTGTTGCTGCTGATGTTGCATTTAATTAACAAACAATTTATATTCATAAACCTCAATCGGTCA